TGCTGACTCCACGTTCAATGTCTGTGCAGTACAAGTTGATGATATCTTTGACCTTTGTTGTTTTCAAATAACTTTGGTTCGTAGTAGCTCTTCCCTCCTACTCTCTGATTAATCTAGCTGTCTAAGCTTTTATTTAGCGTGGAGACAAACTGTATAAGCAGTTTCAAATGATCTTTTTCAAATGTTGTGTGTCTAAGAATATCACTAGCATTCTTTTAATTTTGAGGAGTGCTGATCATCTTTCTTCTCTGCCATTGGGGTTAAACTATGGAGTTTATAATGAGCCTATAATGACCACATCTTGAATAGTCTCCCCCTCGATGACTGAAGATGCATCCCCTAGTCGGCACAAGGCACTGCTATGACTGGCTTTTTCCCCAGTACAGTCAACTTTGCTATCAGTTTTGAACTGCCAAAGGGTTTCTGTCTTTATTTTCTTTCTGTAAGGGAATGATCTTATGACTTCAGAAGATAGCTCAGTCTGTGCACTCCGGAGTATTTTCTTCAGCAGCAGAGCTGTTTAAAGATGATTCCAGCCCTCTTGGCTGCTCTCGCTATAATTTTCTACCTCCTCAGTTATGCTAGTGCAGCTATTTGAGGTTCATATGAGATCACGTACACAATTGAAGTGAAGGGAAAAATTGACAACAGAGAAACTTTTCTAAGGATTCGTATTTTAAATTGAATCTGTTTAGTTTTCAAGATCATAGAATAACACCACAAATAGTTATGGAGGCACAACTGTGTGTTGATAAGCTGTGTCATGGGTAAGAAACAGCTGGAGGTGGTGCGGACAAGAGGTAATTTCATGAACTTGCTTCGTACATGAAATTGCTGTCTGTCTCAAAAAGCTGTCTTTTGGGGCATTACCCACTACTACACTGCCCTGTGACTTTGCGCAAATGTCCAGTCACAAGGAGGCCATGTCCAGTTCTTTCCTTAAATGTGGAAGCAAGACGGTCAGAGATATGTCAGTATCAGTACTGTAGGTATAAAATTGGAAGGCTAAATTACTGTCCATTTCCTTGGCTTGCATGCGTCACGCTGTTATGTCCAGTTACAGTTTAGTGAGAAGACAAGCATTTATAGACAGTTTCTTCCTCTTTTTTGGAGAATGTGTGAATGGAAATGAACCATCAAGTTATACATTTTACACAGACTAGAACACATAAATACATTGTAACAACTTAAAGCATGATGTGTCATTTACAGTGAGGAATTAGGGAGTGATTATCTGGTATTGATGTTCAACTAGTACCTATGAATGGCGTGTACTGAATCAAGTATGATTTAGTGTAATCGCTTTGTTATTGCAGGTGGACTTCGGGGTTTTAGCTAGAAAGACTTAGCACCCTCTGTTAAGAAGGCTTTTATAGCATTTCACTGATACCTAAAAACAGTATTGTGAGTGTAGGTAATGGCTAGTGTGTTTTGTAGTACCAAACTTTTACGCAAATAACTCTTAAGCCTTTAGGACTCCATAACAATATTGTTCATGAGCCTCAAATTGTCTACACAAATTAAATTAGCTGCACCTTTGACCAGGTTAAATCCGATATCTCAATGAAAAGCAACTTACACATACTAAGTAGAAAATTAAAGTTAGGATCCTTTTCTGTTAGTAAGATGCTGCAAATGAAATGGAGATAAACTGTGTTGTGAATCCACTTTCAAATATCTGATCTAGTTGTCATCACAACCATTGACAATGATGTGTGCATGCTTGCAAAGTGAGACCAGTCATTTCACATTGACTTTTTCTGTCAGGAATGGCATCAGGAATAGATTGTGTGAGTGTGTTTGAATACCAAGCTTTATGAAGAAGCTGATATTGCTAAATAATTGAGAAGTTAAGAAAATGCTCCAATTTGGCAATTTTAGAGATAATTATGAATTTGTCTTTGTTCAGTATTCTTACACTCTTCTCTTCCACCTAGCCTGATAAATTATGCATTGCTATTTAGAAAAAAAAATTAAAAATCCCTCAATGTGCACATAGATTATGTCTAGACAGTTTTATTTTGCTGAATTTGAAAACGTGGACATTTTAACTTAAAATTCAGCTCTTATTATGCTTCTGTTTTATTTAAGGCAGTAAAAAGAAAGGAAGAGATATTTCAGTGGAAAAAAAATGCTTTTTTAAAAGCATTAAAATATTAATTAGCTTGAGGATATAAACATTAAAATCAAGAAACAAGGGTTTATTATTCAAACTATTGCCATAAATGCCAGGTATATAATTATTCATTCTGAGCTCCAACTCTTTCATGTACTTACTTGTTTCTATGTAAGAAATGAAGCAGCTACCACATTGTAGGTCAGTGTAGGAAGTTACATTTCTAATATTTTAATAAAAAAAACGTTTGTCACATGTTTAGGACAAGTAACCTCAAATTGACAGAGTTACAGTTTTTGAAATACTCTACCAATTAAAGAACTATTTCCTGGGGTTGGAACAGCAAATAGGATCCCTTATAGGATCGGACAACATTTTTCATGCTCTATCAATAAATTGCTTCCTATGCAGCTAATTTTAAAATAGGTTTAATTTAAGTTAAAGAATGAGTTTGGATCTTTTTCATTTTCTTCTCATTCAAAAATAATCCAAAGGAGATCCAAAAGAGACAGTAGATTTACTTTCTCAGAATGTTGTGTGACCTATGGGGACATTTTTGGTGGATGACAAAGCCCATTTGCTTTTGCAATTAATTATGCTTGTGATTTTGTGATAGCAATAAATTTCAAGAATAAGTCTGTCCTTTACCAT